ACCACGGTTGATGAAGCCTGTTCATAACACCAGTAAAAAGCCGACCCACATGCAGATGCTGGTCCAATTTCAAATCTGAAGAACAATGGACTGAACGTCTTCTGATAATTCCGATGTAAAACAAATTTTTTTTATTCTTACTATCTTATGTACTTTGTTATTTATTTGCCTACTTACTCTATTATTCCCTCAGTTCTCGCACACTTATTTATTTAATCATTTACCGAGTTATTAAATAATCTTCACTTTCTGATCGACGATTCTAGGCAATATTAATTTATTATTTATTCATTTACTTACTTAAATTACTGTTTTAATTCAGTTCTTGGCTTCGTAACTAATTGCGTTCCAACCTACTTACGGACTAACCTAGTCCTTATCTTAATTACTTATTCAATCATTTATATATTTACAAGGTCATATATTTACTTTCCTAGTAAAAAACACATTTGTATAATGGCAACAAACCATTTAAATTGAAGTTGGAGGCCCACTTCTGTATTAATCCCAACAAAACCAAGGTTGGCTTGCTTCTACCCTTGACATATACCTTATAAGCAGAGGATAGTCAATGTCAGATCGGACTAAAGGAATAACCGGTCCAATCCTGACGGAATATGTTGGGAAATGAAAGTAAAGAAATATCTCTTGCGCTATCTCATAGTTAAAACATGGAAGACTGGAAAAGTAACCAAATTTAAACTTATACATTTATGTCCTCATTAGTCTGAACTGCATAAGACATTTCTCAACACCAATAATCTTCTGTAACAGTAATTAGTCCATAACAACAACAATGTGTCGCGGTAGCACAGTAGCAAGGGGGTTAGCTTTCAACTCGAGCTGTCGAATCTGCTGAAGGGTAACCTCTGTTTCAAAAGTGAATTCTCTTGAAAAAGGAATCAACCTCACATTGCTATGGCGCAACTAGCCGAGAAATGCTAGAGTCGGTGACTGATGAAGAATACGCCAATAAAAATAGGGATAGCATGATATTCTGATCTGGGCGTATGAGAATGAACGAGTTGTATGACCACGCTGTATGACGTGAGCGACCCTCGTAATTTCAACTCGTCCTAACTCCCATGATGGCTGATTACGCAATGTAATAATCAACACAAGGTGTAATCCAGATTTCGATTTCGATACGAACAAGAGACTCTCAATACACGTTAATCGTGATATTGCTCAATCATTCAAGTTTTTCAGTTCATTTCAAACTTCAAGGAACAAATTGGAAAGATAGCTGTTGTGAAACTCTGACACTCAATTCATGCCAAGTTCAGAAAATACATGAAACCAGTTGGCACAGTTAAAAACTGCCGTCATACACTATGTAATGTTCGTGAAATATGAAACCTGAAATTAAAAACAAAATTTCCATAAAATAATCAGGAAATCTCTATGGGATCTAAGTAGGTCTCAACTCCATGGAATTTGAATACTGGTGCAGCGCAGCATTTTATTGGCTATAATTTGTCACTGCTCTTTAATTATGACGTTTGAGGAACTATGACAAATGAAGCGAAATCCGTTCCAGGAGCCACAGCTTAAGTGCCCCTGTCTCCAAGGAGTAAGGGCTGATGCATTACGCTGAAAAGTTCGATTTTAAAGGAGTCAATTGCTTATTACCACATTCAGGCTAAAGAAACCACACTTTCGATGTTTACGACTACAGATATACCAACCAACCATTTCTCAAGGCTGGCATGAAAAACTTTATTGGCACTCCGACAAACACTCGCCGAGAAAAGAATGCAATTAAAAATGCAAAATTCTGGAGGTACATTATATCTCTATTCTGGAGAACAATATGATAGATTTTGACCAAACCAGTCTGAACACACCTGAAACCATAGTCCTATAAGCAAGGTCTCCAAGATGCTTGGTTCCATTTAGGCCACTGTCCCTATCGCAGAATGATAGATCTTCTGATTCCATGGTTGGCAGCATGAGAAACATGAAACATTTCATTTACGGAAACACCAATATTTCGAAACAATTCTCATCGGTCATCATCAGGGAATGAACAAGACTGAAAAACAAACTACGAAGTCAGCTGGTACCTGACTCGATTCGTTGAACATTACACAGGTTGCCATTAAGCTACAAATCATGCTTCACGTCGCGGAAATCTTAATGGAGCCAATTTAACCGCTGCAAGTCCTGTTTTTTGCTGGCAATGGCGTGAAGCGACTCCTTGAATAACAACTTCGCCTTGTCCTGGTGTCGATGGACCACCGTTACATCGCTGTTTTTAAAGCCATGTCCATTCTCCAGGGCATGAGCAACAAAACCACAGAATGACCAGCGTTACGGCACCTGATGGCGCTACAGTGCACCGTTAATCTAGCTTTTAATGTTCGACAGCTCTTGCAAATATATATCTGGCCACAGTTACTGCAAGCTATCTTTAGACTCTCCAAGCTGCGGTGAGGATCAAATTTCTTTTCCAAAGGTTTTGTCCTTAGAGAACAATAGATTTAGACCGTCGTTTTTCAATTTCAACGAATATGTCTGGCATGTATGGTATCGATATGGACAAATTATTATAAAAAGAGCCAGAACCAAATATATGGAGTTTAAATACAGAATCGACTTAAGTACAGAATCGATACTAGGCATGTCAATTTTTAAGGTACGTAGATGAATAGTGCTTGATTTCAACATTGAACAGTCGGATATCAGTGCATTAACTGAAAGCCCTATGACGAATGGAATTCGTGATATTTATGAAGACAGAATTATGACTGTAGGATGAAATGATAAGACAACCGTGATGTTCTGTATATAGCGAAGGTGAATGCACCAGCAGAGTGTCGTTTAATAAGAATGTGAAGAAATACCATTTGGTGATCGTATACGTGGAATGAATTTAATAATATTATTAGGATTTTTGTTGATTAAATATTCATGCAGCAGGTGAAAATGATGTGGATGTAAAATTATACAAAATGAAACGGCGAAAAGATAGGGAGTTTCACTTAACTGAAACTTATCACAGCGAAGAAAGCAGATGCGTGTACATCAGAATGGTTTTAGCTCTGAGTTTTCTCGCAGTTGCAGACGTTCATGAAACTTCAATGATTGGATCTGCCGCAGAATTTCTAAATTGGCGCTGATTACTGGGAAGACCATTTCATCGGAAGACTACGCAAGAAATGCCATGGGAATATTCAGGATTTTGTGTGAGATTCTCAGTCACCTGACCGTGCAAATGACGACTTACCACGTGTCACCGTACAATTCAGTAAATGCGCACCACAGAACGTTCCAAGAGACGGAAGTTAGAAAATAAATGACACTTCTGCAAGGCACATGCCCATGCGAAGGTTTTCTTGAACGCTACCATGCCGGATTTAAAAATCCTGATACATTCAATACTAAAGCACTTGAAGCTCAATAGACCTCTGCAAGCTTCGGAGAATAATCGCAAATTATGCAGAATTATTTATGTAATTCGTTAAGAAAACTGATTTTATAGACTCCCAAGTTTGAGTATACAGATTAGCCACATTTATGTAAACCGAAACAGTTGCGATTTGTATTGATTGCCTATCGTATAGATTGATTCAATCAAAAAAAATACAAATCTACTCATATAATTTTTACGCCCTCTGCTTTGCCTGTCCCTAAGTCTAAAAACTGGTTAAAAACTGCAGGCAACACAACGCAGCATTACAAAGTGCATATTAGGAATAGGAAGAAAAGAGAAGTAGTAATAAGAATGGGTAAGAACTGAAAAAGGATCTGGTGATATCACTGCCCCAATAAAGTAGCTGAAGTGACAATGGGCAGAACATGTTGTCAAAACGACCGACCGTTGCTGGACCAGAGAGACGTCAAAATCAATGGCAAGATGAGCGTA